TTTTTTTTTGTTGCTCTTTTTGTTGGTTGCTCCTTTTTTTTTGTTGCAATTTTTTTTTGGTTGCGCCTTTTTTTTTGTTGCTCTTTTTTTTTGGTTGCTCTTTTTTTTTGTGGCAATTTTTTTTTTGGTTGCAATTTTGTTTTGGTTGCTCTTTTTTTCTTTGTTGCTCTTTTTTTCTTTGTTGCTCTTTTTTTCTTTGTTGCTGATTTTTTTTTTTGTTCTTGTCGCTGTTTTTTTTTTGTTTTTGTGCTGGTCGCTCTGTTTTTTTTTTTTTTTTTTGTTCTTGTTTCCCTTGTTTGATTTCATGTTGCTGCTTCTTCCTATTCCACCATTTATGGGATGTGTCATTAAATGCAGATAACGGATATTTTGTTCATGGGACATGTTTCCGAAGGCACCCTATACTGGAAGACATGTTCCATTCCGCAAGAATCTGAGTAACACACAAGAGAATATTGTGCCGATATTATACTCAAGCCGTTATCTGAGAGATAATTTTGTCATCCTTTGCACACTATTAATTCATGATAATGACAATATGCAGCATGAGCGGTTGGGAGATTTATTAGCAGAATATGTAATAAGGAGGGGTTTAGGGGGTTTGCAGGCGGAGTATAAGGTAATTTATTAAGTATAAGATCGGGGGGCGTTGTGTACTTATAACCGCCTCTATATATGATAGTATGTATACATGCCGCTATATATAGTGTACGAATGCGGCGCTGCACTCATTCCACATTAATAACACAATGGGCACATACCGTACGTGCAGTACGCACAAAGGCATGGGCACATATGAATATGGAACAGACAGCTACTGTGGCCAATTATGCACACACATATATATTCCTTATGCGCAATGCAGCAATTCCTATGGACCGATATAAAAGCGGAACTGGAACAATTTGTGGAATATATGGAACGTGACCACCTAGACAGCTATGCTGTTAATTGTTTGCACGTGGGTTATACGCGTCCAGGGCATGGAGACATAGCATTCGAAGCTAACGTGGGCGACAGAATTATGTGCACACTCATGACACGAGCATTATTTTTCATGAATGGATGGCCCACGCAGTTCGCCAGCACAGAGAATAAAGACAGCAATAGCGCAGAGTTGAAGGAACATATAAGATGCGCTGTAGCAAATATATTTATGCACATATTACTGGCATCTCCATGCAAAGGTACCATGGGTACATATTATGCATGGGACATTGTGCACGAGCTGGAGACAGTTTGGCCTGGATTACTTACAAAGGGCAAGTGCCAGAGGGGAGTGTTTACACAAATAAAAATACAAGAGGTTGACATGCAGACACAGATTACGACATGGTTAGAGAACAACAACAGGTTGACTGACAAAATTAGAGGGCACGCAATACAAAGCACATGTAGGCAACGGTTAGTACACTTTGACGGGGCAACACAGGGTACATACCCTATGCATGGAGACAGTGAACTGCAGCCACAGGAGAAAACACTTATACAGACACTAAGCCAAGACCTGAAGCTCATAGTTGCGGACGTGAAGACAGAAGTAATGCAAAAGGCGCGGGAAAATGGAGAATCCACGGATCCTATCGAAGACGCCGGCAGTAGAGTTATCGCGGAGGACGAGAGTGAGACCATGGTACCGAACCCTGGCACAAGCGGTAAACCAGCAACACCACGCGGCAGCGGACCACAGCCTTCGACGCCGGACACGACGAAGCAGGCACACAGCACACCAGAGAAGCCACATAAAGGACCCGTAGGTAAGGACCGATGGGAGAAAGCACGAATACGTATATACGGCTGCACACCAATAGTACGCACACGGCCCGCTACGCACGCTACCGATAAGACTGCGGCTGCATGCCACCACAACAACACGCACACGCGGCGACGATGGCAGTGGCAGCGGTAGCGGACGACGTAATGTAGCGGAGATGAGGCACAGGACGGCGGCAGCGCACACGAGATGACGGCAACAACATAAAAGTTGTACGGCTACCATCTAGTCCAAGTTCACCGAGTACACCCAATCCACCTCACCGTGCGCTTGCTGCCGTCTCACCCAGTCGACCGAGTCCTACCTCGACCCACTGCATCGAGCCGGACGCCCACCCTGGCGCTACCCGACCCCACCGTCGCGGCCCGTTCTTTCTGTACCACTTGTGTCCCTGTTTTTTTTTTATCATCTACCCTTACTCTTGTTCATTGCAGCCGAAAAGGACAAGGGCAAAGGCAGTACAACATCCCAATCTGGGGAAGGAGTGGGAAGAACCGCTCCCCCCAAGAAACCGGAACCTCCACCATCAGAACCGTCATCAGAAGGGAAATCAGGAGTAAGCCAAGGACCGGGTCAGGGACCAGGACCTGGACAACAACCCCCACCTCCACCAGAACGGGCACGTCCGGCAACACCAGGGGTAGGAGGAGCAGGTGTAGCAGCAGGGGGGCCGACACAGCCACAGCAGGATACCGATACGGGAGAAAAAAAGAATAAAGATGCAGGTGAGGCAAATGCTTGTACCAGGAGTGAGACTATATCCATTACACGAGGACCATCCCGCGGGCAATATGCTGATCATATTGATGACCCCAGAGAAGGTACAGGTGGCTCCTCAGTATCTTTCACTGTTGCCGTCACCATGCCCGCATGTTCAGACACAGGTCACAGTGTTTCACATGCACATACTTCTGAGCTTGGACACTGTATGGCAATATGCCTGCTGGAATATTAGAGGGAGAAAAAAAAAAAAAACAACACAAAAAGAAACAACAAGTTCCGGAGAGAGAGACACCAAACGTCCAATGAGAATGAACCCGGCACAACGACAGAGCGGCAGAGCGATGGGTCGGCCGCGGGTTGTAGACGTCGACAGACGTAGACGATACACACACTGTGTGTTGTGTTGTGTTGTGTGGTGTGTTGTGTGTGGGAGAGAGAGAGTCTTTTCCCGGGGTGGCACCTGGCCCGCGTGACATGCCCCATCGTCCGTCTGCTCCCACCGCCTCCCCTCCGTCCCCGTGGCACGCCCTTGCCATAATCTTGCCCGGCGGTTAACCCTGGCGATCCAGCGCATAACACTTCAATGTGCTCACATGGTTCTTGGTCTCGTCCGAACTCATAGGTAATGGTCCATTGGAGGAAATCAAAAGAAACGGCTCAAAGGGCACAACATCCGCACAGGGACCTGAACCAGTAACAACTCAATTAACACACTCAGAAACAGTAACACCAGCCACAGGAACAGAACCAGGAAAAGGAAATGGAAAATCGTCACACTGGGATTTGAGTAAGGTACCCCATACAACCCACTTATGGGGAATAGGAACAGGATCCCCAGACTTAGTGACCACAGGAAAAGTACCTTCAGGTGGTAAACAGGCAGAGGGAACGGATAGTACTACAGCACAAGGTTCCTCTACGGTGTCCCCGCACTATTTCGCGCACTGTAACGGCGGTAGTTGTGACTTCCAATTTACCCCAGAAAATTCCCTGAACATAAAGGACGCACCAGGAGGCTTCGTAGCACCAACCTTCGCAGCACATACATCTCTTTCTTCGACTAATAACCACGGTCCCGGGAAAGTGACCCCACATGTTCCCGACCTAACCGGTACGGTCCTTACCGCCATTACCCTGCTCCTTTTGGTCGTCGCTTCCGTCATCGTGGCCATTCTTGGTTATTTCCTTTGGAAGGTACGTGCACACACAACGCACGCACAACACACAACAACCAATCACACACGACACAGTCACAGACATACCTACATGTGAGGACCCGAAGCCCGACATCACACAACACGCAGTCACACACGACACAGTCACAGACACACCCACATGTGCTGATCCTAAGCCCGAAATCACAGACATACCCACATGTAAAGCAGTCACAGTACACACTACCACGTGGCTCCGTTGGATCGACACACACAAACACCTCCTACAACCTTTCATCACTGCCCCTTGGTTCATTATGCTGCAGCAACACTGGCGGCACCATCAGCAGCAATATGCGTCCGATCCTACTAACATCGACGACCCATTACAAGCCTGGCGCACGTGGATTTCCGAGCAACATACAACACTGGACACACTGCGCACAGACGCGTGGTTCACACAACTGTTACAGCACCTACCGCCACCACCGCACCACACCCCGTCCGACACTACATCCGTCGTCAACCACACTCCACCATGTGAGGATTACATGATACACACACCAACGTGTACCACAGCAGACACACTGCACACACACATTGCACCAACCACACACACACCACCTGCACCCGATGTTGCATCCACGCCGCGCACTCCTGTGCGCGTCGCACCGCACGCACACCCAACCATGTCACATGTGCACTTATCTACGCACAAACAGTTGACTTCAGCATTACACATGCTCATTCTAGCAGCTGTTATTGAACAGTGCCACAATGAGTCACAGTTGCAACACCAAGAGCACTATTTAGATAATTTATTAGATCATATGTGAACATCACTCATGCATGCAGTGTTTGTTTTTGTTGGTTATATATTGTGTTTGTTTTTCTGTTCGCACATTCTTGTCTGTGCTGTCTATATTCTTTCTACATTTGCACGTGTTTTGTGTTTTTTCTGCTGCGCTGCTGTTTTTTGACACCGTGATGTCTGTGTATGCACCAACCACCCGCCCACCGCATTCACATTGCGTGTTTTTCTCAACTGACAACAACGCTATATCCACCAGGTCATAGCGTTGGGCTATGACCCCCAACACACTGTTCACGCCTCACGCGATCACATGCGCATCCTACATGCACGGTCCTACAGGCCCACATGCATAAACCCTAAACACGCACTCTACCATCCCTCACACGCACACACCCTCAGGTCCTAACACCCACATGCTAGTTCCGTCACCACCACATACATATATCCTAAACCCAACATCCACCATTGCTCACACCCACACACATCACTGCATCCTAAACCCAGAATTTACCATCCCACAAACACACACACGCACACATCAATGCACCCTACACCCGGAATCAAACGCCCCACATACCCACACCAATACCTCCTACACCCGAAATATACCATACCACATACCCACATCCTCAGACCCTACACCCAATACCCCAGTCCCTGCACCCTGAACCCTAAACCCTACACCCTGCACACTGCACCCACCCCCCTGAACCCTGAACACAACCATAAGTCCCGAACCCCCCCACACAGATCATAAACCCCGAATCTACCATCCCACAAACCCACACAACAGTGCAACCTTAACTCGGAATCGCACCTACAACACTCGCACAGCGCTAAATCCTGAGATCCTAAACCCGGAATCTCCTAACGCAAAGCCTAAGCTCAACAAAAACCTTGATCCTAAGCTGAAAAAAACCTGCATCACAAGACCAAGAAAAACCCTACGTCACAAGCCCAAGAAAAACCCTACGTCACAAGCCCAAGAAAAACCCTACGTCACAAGCCCAAGAAAA